AGAGGGGGATACAATGTGTAACAATGAATAAATGAAAGAGAAAAAAAGAAGTCCTTCTTTCTTTTTGTGCTAGGTGTTGATTTAAGGTCTGTTTTCTCTGGTATCAGGATAGCTGTCCTGCTGTTTGCTGTTTGCCTGGGATAATCTTTCCCATCATTTCATTTGTAGTCTGATTGCATGCTGGTTTCTAAGGTGTGCCTCTTGTAACCATCAGAAGGATGCCACCTGTTTTTAATTTTCTTTCTTTATCCTTTCTGCTACTCTGCCTTTTGCATAGGGTGTTAGAACTGTTTGGGTTTAAGGTCATTGCCAAGTGTGGAGTGTCTCCCTCTGTCCTCTTTGCTGTGGTTGGTACTCCGTTGTATGTGTATACTCCACAGGTTCTTTTTCGTCATTCAGACAGTGCTGGATATTAATAGTTTTCTGATTTTCTTTTTTTACTCTTGGAGATACTGCTGGATCCCCTGTCATGTACTTCTGTACTTCTGCAGGGGCTCCCAACCCCAGTCGTGTACTTCTGCAGGGTCTGAGCCCTACTGTGCACTGGCTGTTTCTGTTAGGTGCTGTCCAGTCAAGTACAACTCGTAGTGACTCTGTGAGCAGCACATCTGCGCCCTGTCCTGTCTTGTGCTGCCCTCATCATCTCTGACACGCGCAAGCCCATTGCAGCAGTTGCTGTGTCACCTCACCTGGTTGAAGATCTTCCTGTCCTTTACCATCCACCATCTTTCTGGGCATCATGTCTCTGTCCAAGAAATAGCCCCTCCTGGCAACATGCCTGAAGTATGGGAAGCAAATTGGCATTGTCACCCTTGCCTCCAAGGAGCACTCTGGCTGCACCATCTCCAAGACATCTCTGTTTTTTTGGCGGTCAATGGGGTGTTCAATGCTCTTCTCAAAGGCATAATGTATGCTCAAAGGCATCCGTTATTCTGTCATCCTGAGTCATTGCCCAGCTCTCAGAAATATAGCAAGTGATTGCATAAAATCATGGCCTGAATCAGGCGAACCTTGGTCCTCAGACAGACATCATTGCTCCTCAATAATTTGGGAGGTCTCTTTGCCTGCAGACTTTCCCAGTGCCCTATGTCTCCTCATCCACCAACGACTGGTACAGGTGTTGATTGTGGATCCAAGTAAGATGAAGTCACAGACAGTTTCAGTCTTTTCTCCATCCACCACGATGTTGCCTATTGATCCAGTGGTGAGAATATTTGTTTTCTTAATATTGAGATGCAATTCATTGCCAAGGGTATATTTTTGATCTTCTACAGCAAGCATTTCAAGTCCTCCTCACTTTCAGCAAGCCAAGTTGTATCATCTGCATAACAGAGGTTATTAATGCGTCTTACTCGGATCCTGATTCTTCCTCATGGAGTTCAGCTTCTTGACTACATTGCTCAGCACACAGATTGAACGCACCTGTTGCAGTTGTTAGGTGCCATCGAGTCAAGAAGGACTCATAGCGACCCTGTGAACCAAGGAGCTTACCCCTGCCCTCTCCTGTGCTGTCGCCATCATCTCTGACCTACTGGAGCCCGTCGCTGAGGTCACCGTGTCAGTCCATCTCGTTGGGGCCCTCCTCCCCCTCCTCTGCTGACCCTCCACCGTTCCAAGAATGAGGTCCCTCTCTAAGGACCAGCCTCGCCCAGCTACGTGTCCAGAGTGTAAAAGATGAAGCTTCGCCATCCACACCTCCAAGGAGCACTGACTGCACTTTCCCCATGACGTAGCTGCTGGTTCTTTTCCATGGGATGTGCAGGGCTCTTCTCCAGCACCACAGCGCAAAGGCATCGGTTCTTCTGTCATCCTTACTCACTGTCCAGCCCTCTGATAAGAAACCACTGACTCTTATAAAGTGGCTTTAATTGAAGGCTGCCTTTTCTTTAGCTGGGTGAGACCAAAAATAAAGATGTGGTTTAGTATGATATGGCCAAGTTCCTTTTTGCCCAACTTGAACTTGGCTGGAATGATTTTCACTCGGTCAACACCAGTGACTCCCATGACTGTCCCGAGGATGGGAACCACACCGTGGGGGAAGGCCACAGAACACAGTGCAAGCTCGCAGATTGTGGGTGTGGACGACGGCACAGCTGGTTTGGGGTTAGCTAGTGGGGTGGAGAACCAGAGGAAGAGGCAAGCGTCTGTGTCAGGCTGAATGGGTGACCGTGGAAACGCTGCTTGTAGATTGTGTGCAGGGAGCACACGCGAGTGCCCAGGGCTGTCCCGTTTCCCCGTGCAGCTTCAGTCCCATTTCCCGAGTGAGGAGAGAGCTCGCAGGTCCAAGTGGCGGAGCTGGGACTTGAACCTCGGCTTTTGGATTCCTGCTCCTGCACACCGTTGACCGAGGTTGGTGGTGTTCCTGCTGGGAGGTGCCACCAAGTCAGCTATGGCTCTAATGTCTCGATGACACGGTGACCGCGTGGACGGCAGGTGTGGAGCCTTGCTGTCAAGCACCGTCCTCACTGTCTTGTTAGCTTGACCTCGGTGGTGTTGTCCCTTCGTCACCCGTCCTGGTGATGACCTTCCTCTCTCTCTGACCTTCCATCCTCCCCAGCATGATTTCTGTGACCCCTCCTGACACCAGGCGCAGCGTATGTGAGACCAGGCTTCTCCTCCTCTCTAAGGAGCGCCCAGGTTGCACTTACGCCGAGACAGACTTGTCTGTTCCTTTCGCAGTCCGTGGGACCCGCAGTGCTCTCCTCCAACACCACAACGCAAAGGCTTCACTTCTGCCATCCTTAGTCATTGTCCCACTTTCAACTGCATAAGAATAACGGAAGAGACCACGGCTTGGGCCGGGTGCACCGGTCTTTAAATCCAGCAGTTGCTTTCTAGGGAGAAAATGAGCACTCTCCCCTTTTGCAAAATACTGCCTCTGAAAACCCGCAGGAGCTTCAGCTTCGAGTCGCTTCCTGGACAGCGCGTAGTGATGACAGCATCCCCGCATGGAGTAGGAGTGGGGAGAAGTCTTGGAAGATCCCAGAAGGATCGTGGCCAACAGCTGTGCTTGAGCCAAGCTGACCGATTCTTTTTCTCGTGTTCATGGGTTTTTGTTCTCTTGAGATGTGACCTGGGTCGAAGGCTGCAGTCTTTGATCTCCTGCAGCGAGCGTTCCTTTTTGCAGTTGCGGTTGTCTCCTCTGCGTGATGCAGGTTGCTGGGGAGTCCTCCTCCCGTCCGGAAGCCACATTCCTCCTCTAGAATGATGAGCTCAGCACACAGACTGTGTGTAGGTAGGAGGACGGGATCCTGCTCTGATGCACGCGTTCCTCAATTTTAAATCTAATATCGTGTCTACCAAAATGAACTCGCCTCGTGAGGACTGGGAACAGAAGAGAGAGATGTGAATCCCTCAGAGGCCCCAGAGGAGAGCGACTTGGCGCACAGCCTGGCCGGTGGTGGGCTTTTCGGGGCTCAGAAGGGAACGTAGTCACCAGCTCTCAGTTCGTTTTCCCTCCAGCCACCTCTCCTGAGTGACTGGAGGAGTCCTCTTTACAGGGAGGTCTTTGAAACCCCGGGTACTGGGAGGCAGGGCGAACGCCCTGTTGGAATCACAGGCTATGGGTTTAGATGGGGGTTCTGGGAGGAAGTAGGTGGGTGAGGAGAAGCACTGGAAGTCGCTTTCCTGTGGGATAACCTGAGAAATGCACCCACCACCAACCCTGAAACCCCGCACCCCCGTCACCGAGCAGAGAGCTGGGGCCTGCCACATCCTCTGGCGGGACAAAGTGACACAGCTCTTTGAGGGGCTGGGGCAGCACGCTCTTCAGAAGCCTCTCCAAATGCCCCTTCCCAGGGACTTGCCCTTGAGTTACAGTGGCTATGTGCACAGATATTTTCTAAACTCGGGGTCCAATTCCAGGTCTTCCAGGAAGCTGCCCTCTCCCCGTTACTGTGCCCTGGGTACGCCAGGCTCACACTCTGGGAGCCAGCCCTACGTGTCAAGTAAATATGCAGACTTAAGTCAGAGGAAGAGCAGTAGTGAGGCGGGAGATGCTGGGGCCAGGAGGCCGCTTCCTCCCAAGGGACGTTCTTTTTGCTAGAAGGAAACGCCACACCATTGTCCCATTGGGGAAACGAGACACCGCTGATGAGCTGATTCCACCCCGCTCCCAACGACCCTGGGGCCAGAACAGAAGCACCCTGCGGGGGTGGGGTGTGAGGTGGTCGTCTTCGTGGGAGCTGACTGCCGCGTTGTTCTCCAGTGCAGTGGCTTTGGGTCAGCTCTGAGCACTTACCTTCCTACATCTGTGTGCGTACGCACGTGCGCGTGCACACACACACATACCCGGGCACACACAGGCACGTGTGTGCACACAGGTAAATGCTGCACACAGACACGCGTGTAGGCTCACACCCGTGCACACATGGTACAAGGCCCTGCGGCTCACGTCACAGAGGCCGTCTCTCCCAGCAGGATTGGTGTATCACGTCATGCTGCTGAGCTGATGGAACTGGAGGCAGGGCCAGGCCTGGATGGTGGGCAGTGCCACCCGGCCCTTAGAGGCCCTCTCCTTCCTCTCTTCACCACTCTCCCTCCCGGATGATGTCAGCTCACTTGCAGCCTCACGGTGGCAAGATGGCATGACCCCTCTCGGCCCCGCCACTGTGTCCAGGCGGGGAGGGCAGCTCCTGGGAAGGGGGCTCTGCACACCTGACACCTGTGATGGGGAGCAGAGACCTCCCCCGTATGTGTGGTCACCGTGTCCCCAGTAGGAGGGGACAGGCAGAGGGCCTGGACAGCTGTGCTGTGGACATGGGGCCTTGTAAGCTGATTTCCGCGTTTACTGTGGTGAACAGACTCAAACCTAGCACTGTGGGGTCAGCTCACAGTGACTCCCAGGATGGAGTCAGGCCACCCCACAGGCATCAGACAGGCTTACCTTTCTCCTAAGAAAGTGGCGAGTTCAAATCCCAGCTTTCAGTTTCCAGCCCCAAACTTAACTCCTGTACCACCAGGGCCGCTGGTGAGCACCTTGCTCCTGTAATAAAGCGACGATGTCATTGTAGGAAACGGTGACCGTCTCCCTTGTGTAACTGCTTCCCCGTGTCAGACACCGTGGGGTTTGAGCTGCTGGGAGCTGGCGCTGCCTCTCGGGGACCCTGCATGTGCAGAGCTGACCTGGAGGGTTTCAGTGCACTTGGCATCATCTCTTGGGTACCCCTGTGTGCACAGCTGATCTGTTCTGGGGGTTCCAGGGGAGTTGGTGCTGCCTCTCGGGGACTCTGTTATGTGCAGAACTGACCTGAAGGTTTCAGGAGAGTCAGTGTCATCTGTCAGGGACACCATGTGTGCAGAGCTGACACAGAAGCTTCCAGGGGAGTCGGTACCATCTCTCAGGGACCCTGTGTGAGCAGACAGTCCTGCTCTAGAAGTTTCCTGACTGTGAGCTTTGGGGAGCAGAGAGCCTGACCTTTCTGCTGAGTGCCTGCAGGGCTCAGTCAGCCATCCTTTGGCTGGTGCTGGGAGAGACTTTGTAGATGGTGTTTGGTTGCCCTTCTCATGACTTGCCCTGTGAGTAAGGCCAAGGTGCCTGTCAGTGCCATGGGGCCCCAGAAGTGCTGGTCACTGTTGGCTTCTGAGGCCTTTGGGGCTCCCTGTGTGGACAGGTGTCCTCTGGCTGGGCTCCGGACCCCACATGTGTTAGCCCGGTCCTGAGACCACTTTCTGCTGAGCCCAGTGTCCTAGGTGGTGGGACAAAGGTGTCCTCTGGCAGCGCTCTGGACCCCATATTGTTAGTCCTGTCCTCAGAGCACTCTCTGCTGAGCCCAGTGTCCGGGGCTGTGGGCTGGGGGACACAGTTGTCCTCTGGCTGGGCTCTGGGGGAGTGGCGTGGAATGGAGGGAGTGGCTTGGGTAGCATTGGGGAGTGAGTAGCCTGTCAGTCAAGGTCACCAGGTTGGTGGCCCTGGGCGAGCTCAGGATGGTAACACATGTTCTCTGTCTCCACAGCATCCAGCACGTTTATGGGGCCCAGCATCCCCCTTTCGATCCGCTGCTTCACGGCACGTGAGTCCTGGGCTGACCCCCTCTTCTCACCCCCTGCAGAAGGTGGCACTGCCTTATGTTTCCCTGCGGTCCCGCACCCCACAGGAGGGGAGCGTCCTTCCTTTGAGCAAAGACAAGCTAAACGGTTGCTGGCCAGGAGGCAGGCCGGGCAGCTCTGGCCAGTGGACGGGACGGTGGGGACCTGACCTAGTGGGCCTGGAGTGGGCATTGGAGCCAGTGGGGTTTAGAGAACCTGACAGGGTCAGGGAGAGGTGGTGAGGAGCCGGCTGGAGGGAATGGCGGGGATCCCGGAGGGCAGGTGACGGGGACCTAGCAGGACTAGGATGGGGCAGTGTGGCTGCTGGGCTTGGGGAAACACATCACGGTCGGGGAGGCGGTGAGGAGCCAGCAGGAGTAGGGGGAATGCTGGGGACTCCACGGGCAGCAGGAGTTGCCAGGGTCCCAGTGGGCCTGGGGTGCGGGCTGCTACCTGCTGGCCTGAGCTGCCTCCCTGGGGCTCCCGGGCTGGGCTCTGCTCCATGCGCTGACCCTGTCCCCACAGAGGGATGGTGTGGACGTGGCAGCCCGCCTGCACCCTCACCTGCCATGGAGGCCAGGTCCTGTGACGTCAGTGTGGTTGGGGTGATCTGAGTCCATGGTCCTTGGTGGCCCCTCCCCTGCCTGCAGCCTCTGAGGCTCAGCTGGGCCGCCCTGAGAGGACAGACAGGCAGACATGGCGGCAGAGGCTGGGGATGGACCTTCAGTGGCCCTGCTCCCGTTGATGGTCTGTCGGGCCTGCGATCCTGCGGCAGGCTCCTCCCAGTCACTCGGCCCCCAGGACCCCCACTGGCCCTCACGGGTTACTGTGGGCCGCGGGAGTCCCCGCTCCATGTCGGCTGGGTTGGAAGCTCAGTGACTTCTCACTGGGGAGTCACCTGACCAGGGATGGGCTCTTGAGGCCCCAGCTGAAGCTCACCTTCTCTTGCAGCTTGCTCAAGTCTGTGCCCAGGCTGCCCAGCACCCCCGTGAAGGCCAAGCGCGGCAGCACCTTCCAGGAGTTCGAGAGCAACACGAGTGACGCCTGGGACGCCGGAGAGGATGACGACGAGCTGCTGGCCATGGCGGCCGAGAGCCTCAACTCCGACGTGGTCATGGAGACGGCCCACCGCGTCCTGCGCGACCACAGCCAGAGGCAGGGGCAGCACCGGCAGGAGGGCCCGGCCTCGGGGGACAGCCCCAAGCCCCGGCCAGAGGTGCCCCTGGCCCCAAGCACTGACGCCCGGCTGGTGAAGTCGGCTAGCGAGAGCCACTCGCCCCGGCCTGCAGGTAAGTGGAGTGTGGACACTGGGAGAGTGGGTTGGGAGTCCCCATAATAACATAGGGCAGCATCCCTGCCCCCCAGCACTGACTCCATCCTGGCCTGCAGGATCTGTGGACACCAGGAGAGTGGGCAGGGGGTCCCTGTGATAGGAGAGGGCAGGATTCCTGCCCCCCAGCAGTGACCCCGTCCAGGCCTGCAGAGGCAGAATCTCTGGACACTGGGAGAGTGGGCAGGGGGTCCCCATAATACATAGGGTGACATCCCTGCCCCCCAACATTGACTCCGTCCAGGCCCGCAGAGGCAGGATTGTGGACACTGGGAGAGGGGGCAGGGCATCCCTGTGAGAGGAGAGGGCAAGATCCCTGCTCCCCAGCACTGACCCCATCCAGGCCTACAGGTCAGCAGGATCTGTGGACACAGGGCGAGCGGGCATGGGATCCCTGTTATCAGAGAGGACAGTGTCCCTGCCCCTGAGCTCGGCTCACAGCCCGAGACCTGACGCTTGTCACCATGTCACCGTGACATCCTCTCTGAGTGTCCTGGAGAGGGTGCAGGCCACAACTCCAGGCTCTCATGAGCATCAGAGGCTGTGACCAAGCGGAGGGGACATGTCCAGCTGGTCAGGAGGTCATGGCCAGTACAGAGATGGGAGTGGGCCCCTTGGGGGTGAGGTTGCGTTGTTGGCCTGTGGGACCATGTCCCCTGGTGCCCGTGTGTCCTCCACATCTGCAGTCAAGTATGAGCTGGCTGAGGGCAGGAACGAGGCTCCTGACCCCATTGCCCTGCCCCACCACACTCGCAGCACCCACACGTGTTCCGGGGGACAGAGGGGCAGCTGTCTGAGCAGCGCTCCATGTACCTGCTGCATTGGGAGGCCTCCCTCACGTGGACAGGCACTGCCCTGTGGCACCTGGCCCCACGAGAACACTGCTGTGTGCAGTGAGCACTGTGGCTTGTGTGAGAGCAGTGGTCTGTGGCCGGGGTGACATGCCAGGTGCACGAGCCCAGTGCTCTCCTTCCCCGCTTGCCCACTCACTGACCTCCCGATTGCTGACTCACTGACCTTCTGGACCGTAGACCTGCAGGCCTTCCTTCCCCTACACACTCTGCGTCCC